TTCACTCCTACCTTTGGCGTAAACTCGATGCTTTTGGAGAATCCTGTTGACGCAAGATTCATCAGTTTGGGAGTAATAATGATAACATATGTATTCCTAAAATGACTTCTTTCTCACCACGGCAATAAATCGGCATGTCGCCAATATGTTGCCATTGGCGATTGTTGCCTATTTCTTATGTTTGGCATGGTGGGTTGTATCAAGAAAACACAAAATTTTGTAAATGGAAAATACATTTCGTTCAGAAAAAATTATAATACACTGATTTTTCTTTTAAAACGTAATTTTCGGTATATAGTTTTGTACACCATTTTTGCTTAGAATCGAACGTAGAATTCGAATATGCGAAATTATATTACTCCGCCCTAATGTCTACACATACATATGTATTTGTTTTTAATTTTTCCTTCACATATTTTATTTTTAAAATATGTTATGTTTTTTTTTCTGTGCTTCGCCAAATTACAACCCATAAATAACGGCGATGTGTGTGGAAATGGGTGGAGTTTAAAAGTAGGTGTGTTTTCTGGCGGCAAAATGTGCGTGAACGAAAATACGTTTAATTTCATTTCACGTTGCTGCTTCCGATATTTGCGTGCATTTTGTTGTATCTAATAAATGAAAAAAAAAAAAATATTTTAAAGTGACATTTCACTTATTTTTTCACTTAACTCATTCTACACAGTCGACGTCTTGTTTCCGTGCATACGAATAATTAACTAATTACAATTTGCATTTAAATTGAGAGTATGTAAAAGAGTTATTTAAGTGTGAAAAGGTGAAAAATATTGGCAAACGTTAAGAGATTGATTACTATGGGTCGCCGGAAGTTTGCAAAATGTTGTAATTACCGTGTAAATAGTGTAGTACCATGACGAACGGCGAATAATCTTGCACAATGCATAGTTGACTGTTGATAAACATGTTGAAAAATTAAACAAAACATAGATATTTACTACACACATTTTTGTGAAAGTGAAATTCCTTACGGAACTTCGGGCACGCTTGCGTTAAATGTTGTAACACCAGCGTAAAGGGGGAATATGGCGAATGTAAAGATAGAAAGGGATTGCCACTGTGAGGGCGAGAAGAAGAGAGATCGAAAAATAAAGAGAGAGACAAACACGCATAACGCATAAACAAAATCTATTTTCATATAGGAGAAAATGCGCAAACCTCTCGACAAAAAAAAATCTCAAAAAGGGGCGATCAAGCAGTTGGCGGAATATGCAATCAGCGGTGAAAGGTAGAAGGGAGGTGCAAGAGAGTACTGCCACAGGGTTCGGTTCTGGGCCCAATACTTTGGAATATTATGTTATGGTGTGCTGCCGACATAGCGCCAAATGTGGTAGCAGAGCACCTAGAAAAAATAAGTCCGGCAGCAAATAGTTCAATCGTTCAGATTCAAGCACGTCTGGCCGAAACAGGACTCAAACTTGCGCACCAAAAAACCTAGACAGTTATAATAAGCTGCAAAAAGGCCAGAGAAGTGGCGGCTATAAACTTGGGTCACCAAGAAATTACCTCAAAGGCGGCCTTAAAATACCTAGGCATAATGTTTGATACATGAGGCTTACTTTCAAAACGCACAATGATTACGCGGTCGAAAAAGCCGAAAAGTGGCTGCTCCCCCTCCGCCCTTAAGGTAGTTCAACGGTGGAAGGAAAACTGAGCAGGGGTGGGTTTTTAGTGCGGTGAGCCGAAAGGCAAGTCCTTTTCGGCTTTCAGTGCTTTGTGCCACCTCTACAAAAAATATATATACAGTACATAAATTAAAATAACAAATCAATATAGGGCTTCAATACTACTGATCTGTACTTTTTGTTCTTTATATACTGACAAATTCGATCTTCAAAGACTTTCTTAAGTTTCCTCAATGCATTACGACAAAAAATTGCTCATGCGTCATACACATAGACGCGTCATGTACAAGTCTCGTTGTTCTGCTTAATTCAGTAGCCGGTTTGGTGGCTACATTGCGTGCATATGACCAGAAACCGCTGCACACAGCTGCAGTCTGTTTACACATTACTCATGTGACTCCGAACGAAAAGAGTGTCGCGTGAAAGTGGTTTAACGGCCCAGACGCTCAAATTGTTGTAACCGTCAATTACATCTGATGTAGTCAGTGAGACCAGAAAAATTGTGTTAAAAATATTCCCAGTCATGATAAAATCTTCAAAAAAACCATAAAAAGGTTACTGAAACGAGAAAAAAATCGGTTTTCTCTAGAAATAACTTCATTGAAGACTTTATAGAAAAAAAAAACAGTTTTTTGTATTAAAATTGTATTTGTTATACAAAACCTTTTAAATAATCATTTGTATAAAGAACACAACTTAAGGTATTCATTCTCGCTATTGGATGATGATGATGTTTCTATAAAGTTAATTACAGAAAATTTAATTTGTTAATTTAATTTGTTAATTTAAATTTAGAAACCAAAGTTACTTACCATTTTGTTTTAACAAATAGCGATCCTTACTTTTTATCTTGTGTGGAAATTCATAAAGCCGAGTGTGAGCTGCACAAAGCCGAGTTTGAGCGCGAATTTCGACAGGCAAAATCAATTCAAAAACATATTCATAAAACTCGAAATTAATATCTACCTGTCGTGCAAGGTAAATTGATGACAAAACGAAAAGTTTGTTGCCAACCATCCCAAAAAAATAAATCTTCAAGCGGTGGCAGATATTTTCACTGCGAAGATTTATTGTATGCAGATTTATTTTTTGTAATTATCTTCGTGTGAAGATTTTTCTGATTATTTATGAAAAATATCTTAATTTTGAAGATAAATCGGCACTTCTGGCAACACTGGATGTAGTATGTTAATGGTTTAACAATTCTTGATTGGTCCACTTCCTTCATAGCTGTACCAAGGGCATTGATAAGGGCATGAAATCAGTTGGTGCAGTTATCTTATTACATTAAACGAGCAATTCTTGTATAATATATAGTGTTACGCATTTTTTTTGCATTTTAAGGATATCTAAAAATAAGTATTATCTCTGAGGATATTCGTAAAAGGTTGCCACCTATTCGAAATTAGCTACAATTTAAATAAAATATCATAATATTGGTATCTAATGGAAGGAATTTAAAAAATCCTCGATTCAGAAATATTTTGGAATGGGGTTGTCACCTATTTTAAATCGCTTATTTGTTTAATTTTTTGTTTAGAAAATAAAGGTACAATATTACTATTAATGGGCATTAAAAGGTTCTTAAACAATACTTTGCCTATATACTAAGTGTTATCCCTTGTGATATTAGTGCAAGGTTGCCACTCATTCTCGATTCTAAAAAAATTAACTAAAAACCCGCAATATGGATATCAAATGAAAGGTATTTTTGAGAACTTAAGTCCGAAAATATTTTCGATGAGGGTTGCCATGTTTCTTTGTTAAATAAATTTGTATATTGTTAATTTCCATAATACGGTAGCAAGAATCGCCTGATGTGAACGGCCTTTCAAATTACCGTTGTATGTATAAGTACACTGTACTTATTCGCTCAAGATATGCAATATTCATCCCAGCGTATTTCTAAATAGGGTTGCCACCTTACTTTCTAAAATATCAAAAGTCTATTTTTTTAATTTATTTTCAAAATATTACTTTTTAAGCTACCCAAAGCTTAAGCTACCAGTATTTGAAACCCAAACCTTGAATCTTTCAAAAGCACATGCCCCTCGAGCAAGGCTCGGCCAACCTGGTACTACTATTTATCAGATAATATACTGAAATTGAAGGTGTTAGCCTTTCGAGTGAAAGAAATTTGAATACATTTCTTAAGAAAATAATGTACGTAATAACGTAACCGTACTTTGCACTTCTTACCTTTCACTACATAATTGATGAGTTTTAATACAATTTTAGGGGATTCACAACAAGTAAGCGTCGTAATGCCTCAAAGTCGTAAACTTTTTAATGTAAAATAGCAAGTAAAATACTTGTTGAGGATTCGCGGGCTTATTATATTTCCTGTTATTACTACTACGTTTTAGCTTTATTTTGCATTAAAATACAGTATCGGTCATATGAATAGCACCCCCATTTCAAAGCGAAATTGTTTGTCACTCATGTTTATTTATTTTTAAAATTTTTTAATTAAAATTTAGTTCATTCCCTAACAAAATCCACATAATTCCAAGCTTGGAACTTTGTAGAAAACTAAAAACTATATTCAACGAATTGTCAATCCAAATTTCAAACTATGTGTTGCAGTTTTCTTCCATATAAATATGTGTTTGTCGGTTATTCATATTCCAGTTGAAGCTCTAATTTTGACAGGCGTGAAGGAGGCAGTCGCCTGTCGTGTGAACAAATTGGTGTTATGACAGCAAACGTATCTTAAATTATTTGAAGTCGCTGTAGATTTGAATTGAATTTTTGGGATACAATAAAAATCAGGGAATAATGGGTTTTACAAAAATTAACTATATTAACTACCACTACATCATAGCAACTACAAGCTTTTGCAATTTTGAGGCTGCCACTGCGTTATTGTATTTTGGGCTAAAGAAATTCCAAATAATCGGCGAAAAAAGGCCGATGCCGATGCTTAATTTTGTGCCGATACTAGCCGATGCGGATGCCGATTAATCGGTCGGACTCTACACTGTAGACATAACTTCAAATATTTCCGTCGGCATTTTGTTCTTCTTTGTAAGGAATTTGATGACAGCTCTCTACTCCAATTTCGCACAATGTGCCGAAGACTCACACATGTTGATGCTTACGGCTCAATTTATGAAAGCGCAATGATGTTGATGACATTCGGTATTTATTCGACTAAGGCTAGGCAAGACATTAGGCTCAAAACTTTTCAGCCTCCCTTCGTATTAATAGCATTGTAGGTGACAAAAATGGTGCTAACTATATTTGAAACCTGGCCTTTGTAAAGACTTAAATTTGAACTTCTACATAGGCATCTTTTCTTAAAGTATAGACTTTCATATGTAAATTCAGTACGCTATACATATTATTTATTGAAATAGAAATTTTAGTTTTATATTAACGTCTGTATCATCTTTTTTCCACAGTTATATCGCTGGTCGCTTTAAAATAATCTCAAATTCCGAAACCAAGGGCCTTGGCACATTTGTGGGCACATTCGCGTTGCCATCACTGATCTTTCTCTCGCTGATCGAGCTTAATTGGAGTACAGTGAATTGGACCTTTCTGCTGGCGATGACGATTTCCAAGACTATCGTCTTCTTTTCTGTACTAGTAATTTCACTACTCATTACGCGTCCACTCAATTACGCGCGTGCGGGTTTGCTGAGTATTTTCTGTACGCAAAGTAATGATTTCGCGATAGGCTATCCAATTGGTATGTACTGCTATATTTACATATTTTATTAAATAAGTCAACGAACACATTCTTTTGTTGCTTGCAGTGATGGCCTTATACCAAGATGTGCATCCGGAATATGCTTCGTATTTGTATTTGATGGCGCCCATCTCATTGGCGCTGCTTAATCCCATCGGCTTGGTGTTTATGGAAGTCTCCAAAATTATTACAACTAAAGCTGAGGCGGTACGTCACTTGTGATTTTGTGTTGGCAGTCTTACAAATTTCTATGTATGTAGTCTAATTTGAAACATTTTCAGGTTCAAGAGGCAGCCATCTGTCCGGACAATTGTCCTGCTGAACAGCTATCAAAGCGGAATCGCTGTCTGGGTGAAAAGCCGTTGCTTGTCTTGCATACGCTTAAATCGTTATTTTTCAACCCTATGCTGCTAATGACGCTACTCGGTGTTGGCGGCGCTTTTGTCTTTCCAAATGGTTTGCCCGAAGTAGTTGCGAGCACGCTGCGTGTCTTCGGTCAGTCATTCTCGGCCACAGCGCTCTTTTTGCTGGGCTTAAAGATTGTTGGCCAAGGTGGTTCGCTGCGCGGATCAGGCTTGCTGCTACCCGGTATATTGATACTGGTTAAAATGTAAGTTAGCGAAGTGTTGCATACATTTAGGTGACCAACTTAAACGGTTTTGAAATTTAATTGCTCAGATTGGTGCTGCCGCTAGTGTGCCGGCAGACAGTGAACATCATGCAGGCGGGCACAGATTTCAACGATACAACAGAATTGAGCACTTTTGGCTTTTTGTATGGCACATTTCCAGCAGCGCCGGGCGCATTCGTGATTGCCACACAATATAATGTTGAAGTGGAGTTGGTAAGTAAAAGGAATGTTGTTTCGTTGTTCCGCTAATTCATTTACATACGTAATTTAAGGTTGCTACGGCCATGGTGCTTTGCACATTTATCTCAGCGCCGTTAATGTTCATCTCGGCCAAAATGATCTCACTGACAAATTTGAATCCTGTAGATTATATACATGAGTTGGATGTATTCTCGTTCGACATAAGCGTAGCTGGTGTTGCTGCATGCGGTTGGGTTTTACTATTGCTCGTTGTGACCAAACGTTTCAGACGCATGCCGCAACGTATAACATTTTGCTTGGTGCTTTCACAGTTTATGTGCTGTCTGGCGGTGATCATTTGGGCGAAGTTAGCACATGTTGAAAAGTGGGTGATATACTTGCAGTTTTTCCTCTTTAACATGGGCACATTTAGTAGCCGATTGTGGACAGCCATATTGGCGATAGCATTGCTCTTCCTGCAGTGTCGTAGTTTATGTTTTGTTCTTAAATTGTGGCCTTACATGGTGAGTTCGGAAAATTGAAGGATAAATTGTAATTTTAATTGATATAAATTTTTGTTTATTTCTCAAACAGATTGCCTTCGCATGGGGTGTGCCTGCTATAATCTCAGCGCTGCTCATTGCATTGGACAGACAAATAACATCGCAGGATAGTCACAACCCTAGTTTTCAATATGGCAC